GTTGCGACGAATGTTAATGCGGCATAGGAGTGCGAAGTTATTACAGCATACCTCCACATCGAAGTCGTCACATTGTTCACGAGGCTCCGGCACTTCCTCGTCGTCATCCTCCTCCTGTGATTGGGTGCCCTGTCTTTCTTCGCCGCTGTCACCGAGAGCGTCTTCAATGTTGGCAGGAGTAGCAGCCCGTGGAAGAATACGAGCAAGAGGCTGGGAGCGCATAACACTAGACTCTTGTGACTTCGGGCGAAGTGGCGCTGACCTAGTAGCGCCGGAGGACTTGACTCGGATTGGCTTCGCAATTCGGATGTCTGTTCCGGAGTCCGAATCATCGTTAATGACTGCAGGTCCATGTCGCCTAGATTCTATGCAGAGGGGATCATTTGATGAGCACGGGGACCATACTCAAGTATCTGCTATCGCGATCATTGCCCACGGACTGCAACTTACTTGAACCATCAGATTTGACGGAGCGCACAACTTTGGCCTTCTTCGGCTTGTGGCGCTCCGACACTTCCTCTTCAGCGCGATGACCGACCAGGCCACCTCTCTCAACTACAGACTCCGCTCTCTTGCGCTTTTCCTTGTCCGGCTTCGTTGCAACTACTGCTTGCATAGGCTGGTAGGCGTTTGCTGGATGCAAGGGTGAGTCTACACAGTTGGAGTAGGATGTGTATGCGACCTACACTTATCGGTTGACTGCTCCGAAGAATCAGGTTTTGGTTTTGACGGCGCACGACTCTTTGGGATCATCGACGCCCACTCTACATCATGATACCGAATAGGTGAGTATCATACCACAACAGGTGTCTGCGTGATATTCACTTTTCGAAGCACCCTGTGAAGCAACACGGCTAGGGCGTCCAGCTGTACACGATGAGCGCGAGCTGGGGTAAGTAGATCCAGCTATTGTACATTGGCGGACAGCTCACACAAAGGAGGATTCTCTTCATTATCAGGATCGTGCTGGACCATGCCCATATCCGCGGTTGACTTCCGACCAGCTCGAGGGCCACGGTGCGTAGCGGTTGACATGGTAAGCTGAAGCCTTCGAACACGGAACGATTGTTGATGTGGATGATATGAATAGGATAGCGAGGTACCAGCAGGACAGCAAAGGAACAAGACAGCGAAGGAACAGGTCGGATAGCGAAGAAACAGGACAGCGAAGAAACACTGGCAGGACAGCGACGTAACAAACCAAACCGAAGTACGGTCGAAGGGAAGGAACAAGGGCACCAAACGGGATCTGCTGGCACCCGTTGACATGTGATGTAGCGGGTTGTGAATGTGCAAAATATGCACGGCCACTAGCGAGGTCGACCGTGTGACATTCCCGTACGTTCAACTCCTACCTTCGCAAGTGCCGAGTGTCAACACATTTCTAGCTAGTCATTCAGCACTCTGTACTCACGCTTCTATACTTTGGTGAGTGTCATAGCCGTCTTTTGACCCTACTGCGCAACTCATTTGTATTTACTTCAGGTATTGATCAATCGACCTCGCTATGCCATACATCTGCAGCGGCTGCGCATCCTCTTTCACTGGCCATGGCGCCTTCATTCGACATCTACAACAAAGTACCCTGGGAGCTTGTCAGCTCGCACGTCAACGACACGAGGATGCTATGCGCTATCCAAGTCGCCGAGATAGTCATCGACGGGCTGCGCGTTCACGGTCGCAGTCGAAGCATGGGGACCGAGATCGAGAAGACGTGGATATGCATTCCACAGCTGATGCTCCACACGATGAAGACTTACCAGTTGCATTTGAGGGAGACTACTTCGGAGCTGCTGGTGAGTATGCTGCTGGAGACCTTCCCTTTGACGATGGAGATGCGGATGTGGACGCGAGCACCGACGCAGCAACCTGTCGGCATGATGACGAGTCGGGCGGCAACTCGGACAGTGACTCTGACGATGAAGACGTTGGTCAAGACCTCACTGAGGTGGCTACAGCCCTAGGCGACGATCTTCCGCTCGATCCTCCAGTGCACCACGCCCCGTCTACTGCTATGGACATCGACCCTGTCCCCGGGCCCGAGTCCTCGGGCATCCCCGACGCGGCCGCTGCCCCTGGTGGCATACATGTCGACGCGCATATTCAGCTCCGCCAATCTCCCGCCTATGTAGTCCCATTCGGCGGTGAAGCCGGGAAAACTTCGACGCCTCCTGTGGGTCAACCTGCACGTTCGGGATATGAGACCTATGCAGACGAGGTTGATCCTAAGGATGATAACTTGTACGCGCCCTTCGCATCTCGCGTTGATTGGGAGATTGCCCAGTGGGCGAAACTGCGTGGATTGGGGTCGACGGCTTTCTCTGATCTGCTCGCTATAGAAGAGGTAAGTCGGCAACAGTACCATGAACGTTTGACTTATGTGACTTACATTTGCTGGAAGGTTCGCGAACGACTGGGTCTGTCATACAAGAACGCGGATGAGCTCAACAAGATTATCGACAACAAGCTGCCGAATCGTCGGCCAGCGTTCCATCGTTTTGAAGCTTGTGTAGGCGACGAACAATTCGCGATGTTCTGTCGTGACATCTTAGAATGTATTGCTGCTCTCTACGGTGATACTGAGCATGCGCGGTACATATGTGTTGCTCCCGAGCGCCACTATGCCGACGCCGACTGTACCATCCGCCTGTACCATGATCTACATACGGGACAGTGGTGGTGGGCAACTCAGGTAAGCTAACAGCCTCGATAGCAAATCTAGTGCTAAAATCACATACAGAAGCATCTGGAGAGCGAGATGCCAGGAGCGACAATCATCCCAGTCATCTTATCATCAGACAAAACCCAGCTGACATCGTTCCGCAACAAGACTGCGTACCCAGTCTACCTTACGATTGGGAATCTGCCGAAGGAGATTCGAAGGAAACCATCGCACCGAGGACAGATTCTCCTCGCATACCTCCCAACCAGCCGGCTCGAGCACATCAAGAATAAGGCAGCTCGCCGCAGGACCCTCGCGAACCTCTTCCACGCCTGCATGTCGATGGCGACTGAGCCTCTCCGTGTCGCTGGCGTTGACGGTGTCCCTATGGCAAGCGGAGATGGTATTGTCCGGCGCTGCCACCCGATCTTGGTGATCTACGTTGGCGACTATCCGGAACAGGTCCTCGTGACGGGGACCTACACTGGAGATTGTCCAATCTGCAAATGCCCTCACGACGAACTTGGTACATACCCTTGCCCATACGACTATCGCAATCTCGACGAAGCGCTGGATGCACTCGCTTTCGCGGGGACTGGTGAATACAACCGTGCTTGTGATGACGCCGGCATCAAGCCAATCCAACACCCGTTCTGGGAAGGCCTACCGTACGTCGATATATACCGCGCAATCACGCCCGATATTCTTCATCAGTTACATCAAGGCATCATCAAGCACCTCCTGGCGTGGCTGACGGATATCGTTGGCGAGCACGAGATTGACGCGCGAGTCAAACGTCTTCCCCCGAACCACAGCATTCATATCTTCCAGAAAGGCATCTCTGGTCTGACGCGCGTGACAGGAACCGAGCACAAGCAAATCGCTCGGTTCATTCTTGGACTTGTCATCGACGTACGTCTGCCGCACGGCGAGTCAACGGAGGATTTGGTCAGCGCAACAAAGTCCCTCCTCGACTTCCTATACATGGCTCAGTATTCGGTCCATTCGAGCACGACGCTCGACGCGCTTGAACGCACACTATCTGACTTCCATACGAAGAAGTCTATCTTCGTCAGCCTCGGTGCGCGTGGCAACTTCCTCATCCCAAAGCTCCATATGCTTCTTCATTATGTTCGCGCGATCAAGCTCTACGGTACGACCGATAACTACAACACCGAAGCAACAGAACGCCTTCATATCGACTTCGCAAAAGAAGCCTATCGCTCGACCAACCATAAGAACGAATTCCCCCAAATGACAAAATGGCTCGAGCGCCGCGAAAAGGTCTTGCAGCATGCGCAGTACGTCAAATGGCGCATTCTCCACGCGGAAGCTCAAGCAGACCCTCGTCGTACGGAACCTGAGCCCGCCGCTGCCGATGAAAAAACACGCTGGCGGCCACCCGATATGGCGTGTCCGTTGTATCACCACATGACAAAGTGGCCTACCCGCAACGCTGTACCTATCACCGAGCTTGTGGCTCCTTCGGGGTACGGCGCGACGCACCTCATGCCGGCTCTGGCTCGTTTTGTAGTGGAGTTGAATGCACCGACATTGACGAAGAACGAGGTTGAACGGCGAGCTGCCAATCTCACATTCCCTTTCCAGGCCCTCCCGGTGTACCACAAGATCAAATTCCGCAATATGGAGTACTACGGCAATGAAACCCTCGATTCAATTCATGCACAGCCCCTACGAGTAGGGTCACATGGCAATGTTCTCGCTCATCCACGCTTCGACACAGCACTTGTTCGTGTTCAGCGCGATACTGGTCAGCCTCGCGCTCGTTTACAGGGTATGTCTTCCTACTATGTATCCGGCACTTTGAATACTGATGAATTGATTGTTGCCGCGGTGATAGATACACGCATTGGACAAGTGCGAGCGGTCTTTTCGTTGCCACAAAAATACCTGCTACGGCTCTTCCCGACACTCACTCAAGTCCCACGGCATCTAGTGTACATCGAATGGTTCTCGAAATTCACGGCTGAACCTGACCCACGATATCAAATGTACAAAGTACAGAGATTGACGGGTAACGCGAAGATAGCATCTGTTGTACCACTTACTCTACTTGAGCGCAGCGTACACCTCTTTCCAAAGTGGGGCGGACCTGTTCCGAATGCCTGGCAAAGCACGAACGTTTTGGACGAATGTACGGCCTTCTATCTTAATCCGACAAAGGACTCACATAGCTACTATAACCTGTATTAGAGCGAATCATAAAACTGTTGTTGCACATTGCCCGTGTTCTCTGTGATATCGATAATGTGTTCAGAATAATCTTCCATTGTTGCGAGTCCGTACAATATTGGTACATTATGCATATTGGCGCGAATTACGGAAATAGGGTTTTCCTGATGGCAGTCAGGGCCCCGAAGATCGTGAGCTCCTTCTTGCGGGCGAGCCTGTTTTCTTCAGCAGCAAAGTGAGTGATGGGACTGTTAGCGATCGTCCAGGTCCCATCTAGGCCAGGCCGACAGAACCTGGGATCTCCCTGGTATTTCTGGAGTGCTGTCCACAAAACCTCACGCTCGACACCTGCACCGAATGACACTACTGCTCCAGCTGGCGACAGCCTGTAGCATGGAGGTAAGCCTAGTGAACAGTGAGGGCGAGGTACTGGCCAACCTTCGGAACACGCGATCAGGCGACAGTAGGGCTGTGTAATCGCCGAGATGGGCAGCATCAATGAGATACTCCCGGAGGGCATCGACCATCGCATCCATGCTAGTCCCTTCAATTCGCAGTGAAAATGGCCGTGCCTGTGCACCCCGCGCCCTGCCACTACCGTGGGCCTCAGGGTGGCGGCTGGCTGCAGCATAGACAGCTTCAGCGAAGCCACTCAGCTCGCTGTATTGCTGGCCACCGACAGTGTCCCTCGGCAGTTCTGGCTCCCACGGCGACTGCCAGATATCACGGGGCATGAATGCAGCTACAGCCGATGGCATAGACGATGTGCGAGCAAGACTTGGCACTGTACGACCCTGGAATATTGCAGGAAAAAAAAGATGATGAACTGTGGCGAGTACGGGACATAATGAAGCTCACATTCAGCTGAGCACCAGCTCTGGGCCCAGTCGTGGCATCTGTCATTCCAATATCCGAGTCGGTCGTGGAGGCTGGGCTGCCCGGGTTGCTGTTCGGGCGATCAGGACTTCCTAGCATGGGTGACGGAGGGGGTACAGCTACACCGTGACTGAGCATCAGCAATCAGAGGCTCAGGAGGCTCGGGGAGATGTGCCATACGACTAGGTTCTCGAACATCGTCAAGGCAGCCAATGCACAGAGGGGCAGAGGTGATCGCTTGTGGCCACTCATCCCCTGCGAATCGCCCATATAACGCAGTAGCAATGCATGTATGCTCACGAGCGACTGTGGATGGCTGGACGACAGCGAGCAGGGGGCTCGTACATATCACTACAGGGAAGACCTATTAGGCACAGCTCGCCACATACTGGCGAACACTGCTCACCAAATCGCAGAACAAAACGGCCGTTGTAAAAGCCGTGGTCGCTGTGAGCGAAGCGGTGCTTATCTGCGAGGAGCGTCTCGACTGTTTTGTCGGCCCACAGGGGCTTATGATCGAGATAGACCTGGCCATCCGCACGACGAATGCCACGGTTTTTTAAGCTTAAAATGCCGAGAGGGAGGCGCTCATGCTCAAAGGCGAGATGATCGGCAATGGGGACCTCGTAGTGGAAAGACGAGGCCCGCATCTCAAGCAAGACCATTCTCGCCAGGCGGGGCAGCGGTGTTGACAGCGGGATGTCAAAGTCGTGACAGAGCCCATGCCCTCGCAGATGATCGACGAAGCTGTCCCGTCCGAAGTTATAGGCAATAAGTGGAGCTGAGGGAGGGTCCTATCGTCTTTCGGTCAGCACCGGGCACATTATAGCCACGATGGTCACTTACAGGCTGCGGATAGATCAGACAGGTCACTTTGACCTGGTCTTCGGCATGTGGTATAGGGGATCGTATGATATGGGGGAGATGCGGGAGCGACGGTGGATGCTGTGCCGAGCCACGTGTGCGGCGGGGCCGAGCTGACAGGCTGGAGCCCGCCGTGCGAGGCATACGAGCTGACGATGACAGGCGAGCTACATTGACCTGGCTGGAAGCCTGGGGACGGAGCCTGTTCAATCCCAGGATAGGCTGTGTCAGGCTACGGCTTGGGCCGGGGCCCGGAGTGACTTCGGTGGTGTTGTACAGCGACGATGGGCCTGCTACCTGCGACGAAGAACCAGGAGGGCCATGGCACCGAGGGGGCTGGTCCGAGCACTGTGATACGACACAAGACTCGGAGGTGGGCTACTTTGCTCTGCGAGGTGCAGTGTTCAGTACAAAGCTCACTGACGAAACTCGCAGAGACGAACCAGAGGTAGGCATGCCATGCCAAGGTGTCGTCGACCTCTGTGCGACAGGATTGCCAGGGTTATGGCCCATGGGGGCATATTGGGATGCGAGGGCGATCCAGCTACTTCGCCAGCCGAGACGATGTGGCCCTGAAAGGATGGGTGCGACGATGGCCTTGCTTCAGGCACCAGCTCAGAAGCCCCAGCTGTTTGGCTAACTCGGTGAGGCTGTCCGGGAACACTCGGCCGAGTAGGCGATGAGGACTGCTCCGAAGAGTGCGAGATCAGATGCATCGTCAGTGGAAGTCAGACAACAGGGACTTACCCAAGCCGACTGTGTCGAAGGCTGACCTGCGACAGTATAGGGGGCTGCAGAGGTCGTGTTCTGGCTAGGAGTGACCGACACAGGGTGCTGCTGCAAGACTCCAGGCTGGGTCTCGCCATAGGCCTGTGAGGGGTTCGGGCCAGGTAGCGACGAATTTGGGGCTGTATTCGAGGCAGTTTGGATGAGAGCCATGAGATCGGCCTGTTGCTGAGCCGAGAGTCGACTGAAGTCCATCTGTGGGCCATAGCGATGAATAGGCCATCAGGAAAACCCTCATTTCCGAATAACAACGAATGTCTGCCTATTACTGCGAAGAACGAGTAATTGTTGCAGTTCTCTTGTTCGCCCCAGTAGTGGTCTATTCGCTATGGTCCAAAAGTCGAGTTGCGAATAAGTAGATAAGAATACCGAATGCGGTGATGTTATTGGTAGGGCTCCGCAATTTTTATGTGATCATTGACTCATTCTGAAGCTCGAAAACATATTCTTCGCACAGGCACATACGAGTATAGGGAAACATGAGATGCATTATGAAGTATTATGTTCGCATTCCGAGACAATCCATCCAGCACAACTCGTAGTAAACTTGTACTGTAGTACATCCTCGGACCTCTACTCATCGGGTATATGGCTCCAGTCGACGCCTGCTCCGTTCGATGTACCTTGTAACACGCCTTGCAGAGTATGTCCAGATCTAAATAATAGAATATCAGCATATAGCTATAAGACCACATATATACGTACGTCACAGCTGTGAATAGCTCGTGCATGATCCGATGGTAACGCTTTGGTCTCTGTCGGCGAAGTCCGACGAGACGAACGAGGTGGTCCCGATATATCTCTGCGTTCGTGGCATTGAAGTCTGACGCCTTTGCGAGCTTCAGCTGATGATCGGATATGATTGACTCAACCTGATGAACATTCAAAATTGAATACAATATAGAGGATCAACGAGTCACGTAGAATATTGGACGTACCGCTGTCATGCACAATGCCAACATAGTCGGTGGTATCTCGCTCTCAGAGGGTGCGGCAGTATACGAGGAGACGAACGATTTTCCGTTCAGCAAACCGACCTTAACATACTGCGCGGAGACAAAGAATGATGCCCGTATGGCTTGTTTGATAATAGAGCTCTCATACGGAGCAGATTGATTGAATGCGAGTCCCTGTGTTGTCGGCACGAGAAGCAATTGAGTACGAAACCACGAGATGTACTAGTCGATACATACCATCGCATCCCATGGATAAATATAGCTCGTTTCCTTGAGCAGCGCAGCCTTACTGGGGATGCCGTCTGCAGGCTCATCGCCAAGACCGAGTCGAAAAGTGTGCTCGACTGTCGGCGTCACAGCCTTCTTGATCGCAGAACGGAAAAGACCTAGTCGATGTGACACCTATGCACATGGTAAGCGCACATCAGCCGGAGCAACACGGAGAATACTTGCATAGAGTACGAGGGGTCTGATGTAGTTGCGAGTTGACCCCAATTCTAAGCGTTGCGCTATGTCGCCATCACCGTCATACCCGAGCTGTTCTGCTGCCTCAATCATTGCTCTCAATGCAATACCATCCATGCCGTCTTTCTCGAAAGGCGTGATGATACCGTGAAGCGCCGCGAAGTCCATGCTGAGGACGGACTCGTCATCAGAACCAAATGCGATGATTCTATCGCCAATTTCGAACGCGCGGTGCAGGACTTGCTGCATTATAGCATTCTGGTCTTTCATCTGCATGTTGATGCTCCGCTTTCCTTGTATGACGTCGATCTCGGTGCGAGCCATCCAGACCATGTTGTCTGATGTACCATCAACCCCACCCTCAGTAAGTATGGCAGTCGTAACAGGTCGGCGAATCTCAGGCATCTGAAGTGTATCAGAATGCGAGACCCAATATAGAGGGACCACGTACCTCCTGCTTGAATTTTTTCCGTTGTTTCTCCGTCAACTAAGGCAGTAAGTTGATCATCCAGCCCTGTGTGGTGCGAAAGCGACGTACCTGACGCGGGACCTTGGTCGACACCTCAAATCTGGCCTCCTCCACACCTTCTTCATCCGACGATTCCACGATTGTATTTCGGAGAGGCTTGCGCCGTTTTTGCGACGAAGAGCCTCGACGCTGCGATGAAGAGCCTCGACGCTGCGATGAAGGAGCATCCGGCTCGTCCGAGTCATCCGCAACCTCATGTGTCGTGAGACCATCGCTAGTATCTGTCGTCGGAGGTCCCAT